CAGGAATCAACAATCGATAGCACAGTTCGATCCGAGGCAGCGTAAGCACAGCAAAGCACTGAGGCTGGAGGACACCGCATCGCAGTGGTGCCTGAGTGGGAACTGAGTGGAGATTAAAAAAATAAACACACCCAAAAAACCCAGCTAGACAAGCGCAGGCTGGGATAGAAATGCATCAGGGCTCTTTGCTGTCTTTTAATTGCTTTGTTATATGATGGCCCGATCGCTGCTTTTCCTGCGATACAGCCCCCTTTTCATGGCAGTAACCCTCCTGTGCAGTGCTCTCAGGGCGGAGCCAAAACCCTCTTCCGAGGACAGCACAAATGCAACTGTCCTTCTCATTTACTTACGGGACTGAAGGTGATCAAGTGCCCAATATTTGCTAATGAAGTACAACTGAAGAGAGACACGCCTGTCTGCCCCAGCGGGGATAGAGCATTGCTTGTGCTGACTGCTGGAATTTGTGTGCTTGATTTGCACAGCTTTTTTCGTCATGGGGACAGCAAAAAATTGTGGCGAAGCCCAAGAAAATAAATCTGCGTGCTCAGGAGGGCACATGTGGACGTGGTCACCCTTGCAGCCACTTACCCACTGCCAGCCCAGTGAGCGCTTATTTTTTCTCTTTCTTTTTTTTTCCCCACCTCCTTTGGCAAAGGAGATGAGCAGCGGTGATCTCAAAGGCAAAGGGTCACTATTTGTACCAGGGCTGTGCAAACAGAGGAGAGCACCCTGGCCCCCAACACGCACAGACAGCCCCACGCTGCTTGATGGTTCTGGAATATGTCTGTCGCCATTATGTCCCGAATTTCCCACTGCACCAGCCCAGGTGTATTCAGCTTTGGGTTACCATAGTCTTCTAAAGTACCAGATTCTGATAACATCCGTTCTGTCACTGACTCTCTAAATCTCCCCAGTCATGCAGATGGTTCCCCAGGAGCCCAGCACCAATTACGAATAAGTGAAAAGAACTCTAAAATAGAAAAAAAAGGCTAATAATTAGGTCAAATTTTATCTGAGGTATCAGTGGTGCAGGGCTTGAGCTGATCGGATATACAGATTGATGGCGAGAAGAGCCACGACCACCTGAAGTACAAGAGAAAAAAATGCTATGAGGGTTACGGAGGTTTATTCTTCGGGACATAGTCCGAGTGTTGTCTGAGCACATGAAGAATTTCTCTTTATCAAAAGTCACCACTTCTTTCTATCCTTCCCTTGAAGCTGTCGGCACGTTTGGAAGCAACAACATCCCCTGTGGCAGCTGATGCTGTCGCAGTGTTTTGAGCTGCCTGGCTTGTACATCTCATCTTCGTTTTTCCCAAGAATTCCCTGGAGGTTCCTCACTTGAGCAGCTTCTTCTATAGGAGGATGCTCTTTTGTCTCCAGATTTCCAGAAGGTCAAAGCAGGGATATGCTTTTGTGAGGAGCTGCACCTACACCAGCACAGCCGACACACCCATGGGGTCATTGCACACCAGGGCCGGCTCTTATAATGTACTGGAAAGGGGAGCTCCTGAAAAGCAGAGAATGCTGCTTTTAAACAATGTTGCAGAAAGGTTTTTGTCAATCCATTTGCCTCACATCATACGGGAACGAGACAAGGCCCACAGATAAGTTGCAGAAGCCAGAAAACAGAAATAGGTCAAAGAACATTTTTTAAAGTCTTTTTCCTGCCAGCATGGTGCCTGGGATTCATCCCACACTGCGGCCGGGGCACGGGGCAGCTCTGCCCTGCAGCAGCCCCCAGGGAAAACAGCCCAAGGACTCTTCATTCCTTGCACAAAACCACAAAAGCACAAAAGCAAAGCCTGCCATTCCCAAAAACCTGCGAAAAGGGCCGTGAAAACGGTCCCATTTACCACGTTCTGCAGCACTAACTGGTATTTAAAAGCCCTCATGTGTCCGAATTGCACTGCAATGCCTTGGGAGACCAGATCCTAAAGGTGCCGGTTCATCTCCTTATCTCAGCACAATACATCAGATACGAACTTTTTGGCACGCAGAAAAGCTTCACCTCCCAGGTCACATCAGTGCCCATGCAGCTCACAGTGAGCACTGCAGCCTTTAGGGAGGGCACGTGGCAGGGCCACCACTGACAAAGCGTAGCATATAGTGGGACGACTCCTCCGGTGACACTGCGTTGGCCATTTTGCATCCTCACTCAGCATCGTGGGCAGAGCGCAGCCAGGAAACAAAAAAAAGGACCTAACAGCCCATCCAAGTGCAAAGGCAATAAAGGAGGAAGATGAAAAGAGCCGACAGAGTATGGAAAAAGAAACTTTAAAGGTGCTCACTTCATCCCTTTCCTCTTGCTGTACGGTGAATGGGAAAGGACAAAGAGAAAACCCTGGCATCTCTGTGGGGATGCTGTGTGACAGCTCTCGCCATGACACGCGGGCATCAGCATTGTCACTGCACAAAGTTTGCCTCCAGGTAAATAAGCCAGTGATTTTAAGCTCTTCATCATTTTCAAAAAACTGATAAGGTACATCCCTCCCGGCCCCAAGCAAGGCTCCCACTGATCCCCAGAGGAATTTTGCATGAATGCTGCAGCATTATTCTAACAAAATATTTCTGTGGGTTCAAATCTGAGGTTTTTTTCATACACAGCTGTAGCTACAAGTTTTGTGAGTGAGTGGCCCTGATAAAGCCTTCCCGATTTCCCCCCTTAAATATAATTGGTATTTCTCTCCCTGTAATCCAGAGAACTCCTTTTCTCTGCCATTTCGCACCAGCGCTGAGGATTTACTTTTTTCCTTACAAAAGGGAAAAATCACCTTTTCCACCCTGTGCCCCAAATGCTGCTTAAAGACCTGCTTGTAAGGTGCTAAGATGGGCCTAGGCGCCCCAAAGCATAGCCAGCAGACTCAATTCCCACAGCATGGCACCCACCTGCCCTTTTCCCAGTAGGCTGGGAAACACAGCTGGAAAAACAGGAGGAACTACTGACCAACAGAGCCACGCCATGCTGATGGATGTGTGACAGACCTACATGGCTTTGTGAGGCTGAGGGGACAAGTGACAAGCCAGAAAAGAGGGGGAGCTTTGAAGTTTTTTGAAAAAAATTTCTACCTCCTTCAAATCTTTGCTTTCTCTGCTTGTGACCACAAGGTGATACTTTAGCGAGGCTTCAGCAGGTGTACTCCATCTTCTATGGATCGCCACACCGGAAAATTGAGCCTGAAAGGAGGAAAAGAATTTTCTTTGCTGAGATGCTGCTGTGCTATACCACGATCTATGAATGAACTTCGCCCTGAAATTCTAGAACTGGCCTGGAGGATGACACTACAGCCATGCCAGTGCCTCCCGGCTCCCCTTCCTGGGGTAGAAGGGAATAGCTGCTGTCAACATGAGGCTGCAGAGCCCAAAAGGAAATGCAAAGGAAGAAGAGTGAGACTGCAAAGCCCATGTAAATGCCTAAATCAATAGCACCGCGGATCAATAACGTTTTTCTACAAATCCAGTGAGCCACGCTTACAAATGCCTCCAATTCAAAGGCAGATTCCTCATCAGCTCAGCATTCGCCACTGCTCAAGCCACAGGCTCATACTGAATGGTCTGTGCCTGCCTGGACCGGGAGAGAAATAGCAGCTCTAGCCAGAGATGACGTCTCAGCAGTCCCCAAAACTACACAAGTGCAAAGCTTGTGGCATCCCTAATGTTTCTGCCGATCTGTATTTAATTTTCCAAACATCCCTTGTGCCTCTTAGGCTGAAACTTCATGGAGTTACTTCTGCCCACATTGCACTGGGCCATCTAGGAACTACCTATATTAGCGCTGGGGCTTGGGGAAAAAGAGTACCCATAGAGGAAACAGCACTTTTCCTAGCAAGTTTTTTCAGCCAGGCTCAGCAGGTTATGTTAGACCAGAATCGTCGGGCAGCACAGCATCCAATCCCCAAACTTGGTTTGATGCTGGATGCCGTACCGCCCAGCATCACACCGAGTAGGATAACATGTCAACAAGGAGGGAGGAGCAACACTGGTTCTGGCACTCTGTCTCTTTGCACGTGCGGCAAGGGGAGTCAGGGCCTGCCCCTGTTTAAGATATTTGCAATCTCAGTGTGTGATCTGTCCCATGATTTAAGGCTTGTTCCAAATCCACCGATACGAGGCAAGAGATTTCCTAGTACGTAGGAGAGCCGAGCTGACCCTTACCTCCCACACACCATCCTCGGCCTGTTCACAGCACCGCCACACATGACCCTTCTTAGCTATCTCACCAGTCCGGGCCACAATCTTATTCCTTATACAGGAAGCCATTGCATCTGATTTATTGCATTCAAAAAGAAGAAGGAATTTAAACTAGAAGGTCTAGCTAGCGGCAAGCTTTTGAAATGTTTCTTCATCTCTAACTTTGCCCCCAGTATCCCAAACGACAGTGACTTTGAGTGGAAGAGGTAATTTGGGGCAGCTTGCAGCTATCTCTGGGGCACAGCAGAAGCCAAGAAGATGAGCTAAAGTTCACCTTAATAATGTGACGTCATGCATCCTTTTCAAAACCACCTGCATGAAGTAACTTCAGAGAACA